GTTGTTGCACCTTCAAGACAAGGAGGAGAATTTGCACTAAACCAGTGAACAGGCTGCTATGTAACAGCTATGTTAAAAAGGCAGTCAAAGAAAATGTTTAAAGCCATTTATCTGTGTGGTAAGGGTATATGAGCTCAGTTTAACACATTAAAAACTAAAAAAAAAAATCTTCTCTAAGAAGCTACTGATATCTTGTTAGCTGGCTACAAGAAAACACTTTATTTACTCTCCTGAAATGATTGATTTCTGAAGATATTTTCATAAAAAGTGGCTTTATGAGAGATTGTTAAATGGCTAAGATGACACACTTTGACCCACATGATAATATAGTTTTACAGAAACATGGAGATCACTCAAACGTCACTGTCTTTGCCTAAGACATTTGCACAGTGCTGTAAATCAAGATTTCAATATCTAGGTTTTAAGGAGAAAACTGGCATGAACTGGCTTGTGCGATGGGAATGACATTTTGTCTTGTTAGCTGCCCTTGTTGTCTAACTGCCCTGAATAGTCTAACGGATAATGCTTGTAAGACTGAAATTCTCCGAGTGCAGCGATGAAGAGCTGTCTAAGCGGGTGTCATTCCTGTCAAATTCTCAGTAGAGTCCCAGAAGATCATTAAGGGGTTTCTACATTATTTTCATCCACTTTTCCATCCATCCTTTCATCCATCCATCCATCCATCACAAGGCACAAGGCGAGGAACAACTAAAGATGGGGCACCAACCTCACCGCCTTGTTATAATGGAATTTAATAAAACAATTTAATTAAAATCCATCCTCAATTCAATGCCAGATTAGTGTATTGGAACATTAATTATGTTAAATGTAAAAATTAGGATATTGCTAATCCATTTGTATCCATGGCAACATAAAACAACGTGTAATTCAACAGATCTCCAGATTCACAAGGGTGGTGTTCAGGTGGACCAAATCTAAATAAAGTGGTTTAATCAAAGAACATTAAGAGTCACTGCGATGATTTGAGTCTGACATCAACTGCTCAGAGTCTGGCACCTCTGCTCCATCTCCACCTCTGTTTCCAGTGTGCAATGTCCCAAAGGGAACGTACGATCTCAGTCAGGTGCAATCCATCTCACGGACTACTTGCCAAAGACAATATCGCACTTTTTGCACCAAGCTCGCTGGTACACAACAGTTGTATTTATTATAACTTGCTGTTACGACTGGCATCACATCCAAGGTGTACCCCAGCCTGCCATCCCATCCAGGGTGTACCCCGGCCTGGCACCCCATCCAGGGTGTACCCCGGCCTGGCACCCCATCCAGGGTGTACCCCGGCCTGCCATCCCATCCAGGGTGTACCCCGGCCTGGCACCCCATCCAGGGTGTATCCCGGCCTGCCATCCCATCCAGGGTGTATCCCGGCCTGCCATCCCATCCAGGGTGTACCCCGGCCTGCCATCCCATCCAGGGTGTACCCCGGCCTGCCATCCCATCCAGGGTGTATCCCGGCCTGCCATCCCATCCAGAGTGTATCCTGGCCTGCCATCCCATCCAGGGTGTACCCTGGCCTGCCATCCCATCCAGGGTGTACCCTGGCCTGGCACCCCATCCAGGGTGTACCCCGGCCTGCCATCCCATCCAGGGTGTACCCTGGCCTGGCACCCCATCCAGAGTGTATCCCGGCCTGCCATCCCATCCAGGGTGTATCCCGGCCTGCCATCCCATCCAAGGTGTACCCTAGCCTTCTACCCTGTGCTGCCTGGGATGGGCCCCTGGCTCCTCCACAGCCCTGACCAAGTGGTTGAAAGATGCATGAATGGGTGTTCCTGTTACAGACACTGCAAAGAATTTGTCTACTGCGGGCTGCCATCCCTGACTGTGTGCTCAGTGTGCTTAAGCATCTATTAGCTTTGCAGTTGCTGCAAATACATTGAGCCATATAAGCACATATTCCCAGAATACCTGGACCTGCCTGCAGCAAAACTGGAATAAAACTGGACTCAGTCTTTTCCATGACATAATTGAGTCCTTTCACATGTATAAATACCCATGTATGCTAAATGAACAAATACTGTATACGCGAAACACTGTCTATTGATGTTAAAAATTCACAACATCATGATAACCGGCACCCCATCATGTTCAGGGATTGGGCCTGTAATTAATTACAGTTGCTTGTTACTTCATTCAAAAGTAATTCAACTACTTTTCCAATTACTGCATAGAAAAGTAATTAGTTACTAGGGAAATTAACTATTGCATTATTTCAGTTAATACATACGTACCCTGACAGCACAAATATGTCGTCAGGACATTGGTTTAAGATCAGAACTTCATTAAATGATAGTGTTCCATTTACGGTTAGGGTAATATGTGTTTTATACATCCACACAGTGTTCCAATGAGGCACTTTGGTAAACAGAAATTATGCGAATAAATGTAAATGTAACCATAATATTTGTATTAAAAGCACCTGGAGCAAAAGTTGGTAGAAGTCAAAGTACATATTCGGCTGTTCAAGATTCTTCGAAGCACTCTGCACAATCTGGACAGATCTCTATGAAATGGGTTAAGTGTAGCCAATCCAGCCGCTATTTCATCACGGTCCCTTGGCTGGATTACATTACGCAGGAACACATGACATATCTCTGCTTTAAATTATCCTGCTCATGACAAAAAAGCCTCTATTACCACAAAGTTATTTTGCTTGCTGTTTTAAGACCCATTTATCTGGCATTATGTCATGATTCATATTTCATGTTACAGAGACCGTGAACCGTTTTCTTCTACGAAATAAAAGTTGCGTGTTATATCTAAGCTCGATGGGATTGGAGATGAGATCATTCTTGTTTGGGCGATCTGAATGAAATAGACCTTGGACAGGTATTATTGCACTTACGGTCCATCAGTGACACTCTTCCTTGGCCATGCTTCTCTGTATTTAAGTTTTATATCTGCTGGCTGAAACGTGGCTCCAGCAGTCATTTCCTTAGCTATTTCCTCCTGGAATGACAGGCAGGTGCTACGGGCTCTACCATATGTTAACGCCTACATTGGGCCCAGAGGAAATTCCAGTTGAGGTTAAAAAGCCTTCTCAGATGCTATCAAATGCATTTGTGGACAGTTGCCCTGATCTGGAAAAGCTATAGGTACAATACTGCTGTTTTAAAATGAAAATTTGCATAATTCTATTGGAATCTCCACCAGTTTTGGAGAGTGATCCAGCAAATTATCGCATACAATTTAATCTCCAGGTGGAATAGCAAGGAATCTGCCAGCGAATGCTAACACACGCCACGACTCCCAGGGACTCTCCTAGCTGCTCTGCTGAGGGATGCGGGCAGGTTAACACTTTAAGACCTTTAAGAGTATATCTGCTGTTGTATCCTTCAGTGAGTCACTGAACCAGGAGCTTCCTTCTTTAAAGAACGTCTTTGGTGCACCGTTCCAAAGATGGAAGCCATCCAGTCAGAAGGCGAGTCCAGACTCGCATCACCGTGTCAGCTGGGTGGAGTCGTCATTGCCCAGGGCACAGACCCGTCAGACACAATTCCCAGCACAAAGATGCCCCTCCTACCAGGTCCCATTACCCCCTACCTCCTCTACACCCCCCCCCCAGCCCCAACAGCTACGCCCTTCACAGACACTCTGGGAATGTTTCAGCTGTTCTGTACAAGCAAGAAGTGTTGGCCTTGCTAGAAAGTGTCAGTACCAGGCAGGATCAGGAACAGGGACACTCTAGCCATGAGTATCTTGTCATGAACATGACATTGTATTCCAGCTTAACTCCCTCATGGGCCGGAGATTTTAAGCAAGATTTTCCTTTAACTTTCAGAAAGACAGAAAGGGTGGGGGGGGGGGAACCATGGCGAAAAAACTAGTTTATATAGCTCTTCTGATGCCATCCATACCCAGAAGGTCGATGGTTTGTGCCACAATGGAAAGTGTAGAGAATTACCGTAACACCATGTGAGGGCTTTGCATCAACATATATTTGAAGAGTTTATACAAATATACCTTAAACAATGCAAAGCAAACAAAAGCTCCTTATGTGTTTCATTTTTGTCCCATAAACATCTGTTTTCTGCATTCTGCATGAATACAATAGATCACTGTTTCCCAATACGGACCTCAGGGACCCACAGTCGGTCCACGTTTTTGCTCCCTCCCAGCTCCGGGTAGGAAAATGTGGACTGTCAGGCAGGGAGCTGGGAGGGAGCAAAAATATGGACCGACTGTGGGTCCCCAAGGACCGGATTGGCAAACACTGCAATAGATAGACTTCAGCAGTATGGCGAAGGGGTACTTTCCCACTGCTCCTCCAGAATATGAAACATATAATCCACAAGAAGTTATTTACTCCACTCTAGTTAAAACATAAACATGACACAGTGTCTTCAAATCTGTCAGCAGAGAAATGCACACTGTACCCGAGTACAGACAAGCCTACATTTTTAAATTTGGCATCTGCCTTGGTCAGACTCAGTAGCCTGTGATTAGCCCTAAAAATAGCTCTCTGAAATGTGGACGGGCATTACAATTCCCTTTGATTCAAAATAATATGCACTGTATAGCTATCTTATGTGTTTGTGAGACAGCATCATCAGAGACTTCAACATCCCCCCCCCATGTTCCCCAATGTTCCATCCTCGCCATGGGAACAGTCTTCTGTCAGGGCAATGTGATAATCTCTATGCTTCTTTTAATTGGCTAGTACGTGCATGCTTTGTTAATCCTGAGCCACATTAAGGGTCCTTTCTGCCTTAGCAGCTTGTCACTAACTGATATTTGATGGATGATCCCCGTCGTTTTAGGGGTTGGGGTTGGGCGGGGGGGTGGAGGGGTGGGCAGAGTAACATATTGAACCTCTCTAATCATCTTCTACCAAATGCATGGAAAATACCTCACTGAAGTGTGAAAGCAAACAGCCATCGCTCCGGCAAGAAAGAGGGAAGGGAAAGGAATACGGGGGAGAGGACTGCATGCCTAACTGCACCATCCTGTCGGAAAAAAAAAACAGTTTTTTCACTCACCTGTAAGTCGACACGTCCTCTCGTCGCTGTCATGGTGGACCACTGCCGGGGGACAGGACTCCGTGTGCTCAGTTGCCTTATGTCCCGTTGCACCGTCTCTAGCCCAGCAAAAAGTTCGTGGCTGACACACGGAGTGAAAAGGGGGGAAAAAAATGGCTAAGTTGGCAGAGGACTTTAAAGAAATTCAGGGCACCGCTCCACACAAACAAGTGTGTTATTCATTATTTTTTTCACGTCTGTGCTGCATTCCGTAATGATGGGACTTGGAGTGGGATGAGGTAGCGGGACAGAAAAAAAAAATGAAGTAGCCGAACAGAGCTCTTTTAAGCAGAATGCAAACAAGCCTCATAAGCAGCCTGTATTCTACAGCTGAATACCATAATAAGCATAATGCTCACATTTATTCTGATCAGGCCTGTCTGCGACACTGGGTCTAAACCTTCTATGGGTCCAGGGTTCGTTCCTAGCAGGTCAGTGCAAAGACCTAATTCATATGTGGTCATATGTTCCATTTGCATTTATTTGGTTGCCTAGAATCTTTTTTTAAAGCTCTGCAGCTTTTCAGGGACTGAATTGGGGTTATTCTTGGCCATCAGAAATGAATGAATTCTGGGAGTAATTCCAAGAGCAGATTCTTCAGGGGGTAAAGCCTATTACTACTGTTTACTTTAGTGTTTGTTGTGCTTTTTAAGGACACGCTCATCAATCATGGTGGGGTTTTTTATACATAAGGCACAAATTCCGGCACCCCACTAATACAGTGAGAAGCTGGAGAGCTTTTATCTCAGTACGAATGTGCATTTCGTCACCTCTCAGAATGCTTTTTTTCTCCAAAATTTTTCAGGCTTCCTGGACAGAGAGAGTGTGAACTCTAACCACAGGGACATGGATGCTGAAATGCAGCACTGAGAGAGTGATAGAAGTACACAAGCTTAGTGAGTAACAATGACCACAGAACTGTGTGCTTAATGATCAGAAATGCAAAAAACTTCCACATGTGTTAACCCATCACTAGGCAGGACTAAACTCCAACAGAGTACTTTTAACCAAAGAGCAGGCAATAAAAACACACTTTAAAAAGGTTTAAAGTGACTGCCCAAAGACTTTACAACATGCTGCTTGGGTAAACATCCCATTAAGATAGACTTTTGGTGTTAATACAATCATAGAAGAATATTTTTTTGCAAAACATTTAAGTGGACTTGTGTAAACTTGTGGTGCTGAGGGTAGAGTCACATTTAGCAGCCCTAAGTGCTCTCCAAACATCTGTGGCCTTGTTCAATTATTTTTCGCTTACAACAGGTTTGACGCCTTTGTGCCATAATCTTTATTAGAAACTGGCACAGAAGGCCAGCCAGCATTTACAGTCGGATACAAAAAGTGCATTACAGGGCTATACATGCTTCAGGACATGTGCTTCTGATCAGTTCAGGACCTAAATGGCGCTGTGCTGTTGCGGAGTGCTTAGGATCAGCCATGTCAGTAAAAGATTCTGCTATAGACGTTAGTATAACTTGGTGCAAGGATAATTTCTTAACTTTAGTTAAAAAAACAGTTTTTAGTAAAAGAAAAATACATTTTATTACTGTTATTATTATTATTATTAGTAGTAATACTAGTAACAGTAGTACTAGTAATAGTATTAATGAAAATAATAATAATTACCACGACAGCGACATGAAATACCTTCATTTCAGAGTAACTGTGAAGCTTTTGATCCATGCCCCAAAGCATCATGGGTATTTACGGGAACTTCCTGGCAGAGGAGGAGTGTAAGGCCAGCCAGTGCTAGTCACTTATTCAGCGGTCCCCACTATTCTATAAAGCGCCTTTGTGTGGCACTCACTCGTCAGCCGGGTGACAATTCCTGCCTAGCACGCTGGCTGTCACCGCGGCACATCGCCAAGGCTGGACTGCATTCCCATCAGCCACGAAATACAAGTGCAAAATGCTTCCAGTGCTCCTCAGAGCCGGTGGAACCACACCAAGGGGGGGCCGCTTCCCCAAAGCCAGAGCTGTGCTCCATTCCCTTCTGGAGTCACAGGAGATTCATGCCTTAATTTGGCCTGGATCTTCAGAAAGGACAATTTTCATGTTGTTTCTTATATTGGATGATGGGATAAGAAGGGCTGGAAGTGTGGGGGTCGCCAGAGACACCCCCCCCCCCCCCACTGTCTCCTTTCAGTTATTCAACTCTGCTCAGTAGGCTGTGTGCAGCTCCTTCGCAGAGGGAGAGGAGACAGGCTAAAGGAAACTGTCGCATCAACATGTGCTACTGCCAGGACTAAAGTGGGAATACAAATTATCCCTGGACTTTGGGGTCCCCCATGGCCCCATGGTAAATTTTGCCGATTGGGGGGTGGGGGGGGATCAGTATACCAGATGGTCAGAACAGCCCTGTCTACTGAGGCCCTATCCATAGGAAACACAAACATACCACATTATATGGTTGCATGGATCACTGTATACCCAGTACTACTCCCTACAGTACCACTCCCTAGTTCCCTTGCAGACATATTTATCCATAACCATGCAACCAGATATTTTGAAGGAATTATTCACAGGTACAACAGCAGTGTCTCTTTTAGAGCCTGATTCTGCGATGTTTAGAGCCGCTACACTATTTTTACCCATTTTGCTGATCTTGCAATTTGAAAACAAAAGACTGAAATAGTCTGCTCTCTTTGCATTTATAATAAAATCAGTCGTACTCATCAAAAACACTTACGACCACTGTGGCACAGTTCCTCGAGACAATCAAGCTGCATTTTCCTACTGTTAAGTACGACCCTGTTATGCACATACGATTGATGTATTTTCAGATATATTTCCCAACTGACACTAATTATTGCTTTGCTAGTTGTTTTGGTGACAGTGAACAGTTGATGACAAAGGGATGTTCATATCCAAACAAGAGGGTTACACAAACATCATTTCAAATAAATGAGGTTCCCAGCCAGCACTCAAATTAAATGTCTGGAGAAAGATTGATATCTTAAAACCTTTAGCTTTTTTTTAAAAAAGGAACAACAAGGTTGTATTTTTCTTTTCTTATTTTTGAAATGGTGACTGTGTGTGATTTTATTTCTGGTGTTGGTTCTATACACAGTCATTAACTACACCAGAATCCTTTACTTCTTCCCTGGCAATGATGACTTACAATTAAAAAGAAGACAATAGATTACTCACTAAAAACAATTTAATTTAGACATTGTTGAATTTATCATATTAAGGATTTATTTTGTGAGCTTCAAACACAAAGCACTATCAGTCTTCTTTGCTGAAGACCTAGGCCTCTTCAGCACCCCCTAGTGGTGCAATGGACTACAGAATAGTAGGTAAACGGCTTAACAGCAGCCTGACTGTGCAGGCTGACTTTGAAATGCACTAGCATGAATAAGGACATCTCAAGCAAGAGAGGAGCTAAGTACCTTCTGGTCATCCTGTCATCTTTATGGCTACCATTGTGAGCAAATGAAAAAGCCCCGCATCGTCACCACAGCCACACATTGCTGCTATCTGATCATGCAATGTGCGTATGGGAACACTGGCCAAACATTCAACTTCACGCATTAAATGCACCTAAATGTTTTTTTCCCCATTTGTAATGAGCTTAGTGTGCTATTTACAAATGTGACCTCTAACAAGAGATGAGATATAATTCAATTTTAAAAGCAACTTCCCTTTTGTCCCGATTGAGCTATATTTCCTGGTATTGTGCACTGTCTTCAGCAGAGCAACATAAAGACGGCAAAGCCTCTGCTCTCATCCTCAGCCTGTCACAGATCAAAAAGGAGACAGGGAACAGTACATGAAAACAAGTGGTCTGTAGCAGGCAAATATAGAGAAAATACGTACTGAATATGTAAATTGTTGTAAGACGATCCAAAATAAAGCAATAAAAACATATGGTACTGATTTAGGCCAAAATAATTCTCATTACACAGCTCCAACAGATATACCATAATTTTTCTATGATTTTGATGCTAAGAATTATGTTCTGATAAGAACTAGAATTAACATATCCTAGATGTCTTAGACAATGATGTCAAGGGCGGAGGAGGGGGTCTCACAGCAGGGGAGGGGGGAGATGCAAAATTTACCGACCAGGGGAGAGGGAGAGTTCTTGATAAATTGTTGCAAATTTTGCATGATGGTCTGTTAATAAAGGGGGCACTTCATTAATTTTGCAGGCTGGCGGGGGCTTGGTAAGTTTTGCAGTGGGCCCCTTGCCATGATGGGCCAGGGGGAGGATGCCTCTCTGCCCCCCTGCCCTCCTCCACTACTGAGCTATGGTCAAGCGGAGGATGCTTGTCTAAGGGTGAAAAAGCTGTTAATGTCATAGTCTAAGGTACTGTTAAATCACAGCTGTAACTGTGGAAAACTCTTCTCTTGCAATGTTGTTTAACTTTATGACAGATGTTCAGAACATGACTTGCAGGCTTCTCTACTGACTGGTGTCAAAAAGTAAAACAATTTCTGAAGTTCATAAAATAAGAACTTCGATCTTACAGTCCATTTTTAGCACTCTAGCGTTCTTTGTTGAATCTCTTTTGGAATTGCTTTTCCAATATAATTAGGTATGATTTTAGACAGGCAGAATCATAGACAACTAAATCTCTTTTTTTTTATATATATAAATTTATATGTTTTAGACAGGCAGCACGATAGATGACTAAATATGGTTAAAAAAGAAAAAACACATTGGTGAGGGTCTCTAAGGACCTTGAATGATGGGAAAATTGAAGGAAAGCTTTAACTTTTGCAATCTCATGGCATGGGCAGGGATCCAGCATTCCCCGTGAATGGAAAAATTGCACTTGCTGGTGATACCTGACCTTTCTTCATGACTGAACTGCTCTGACAACCAGGAAATTCTTCCATTAACTTTAAGAGCTTTGCTCTGCAGTTTCCATCAGTATGTGCAAAGTAGAACATAGGCTGATCTACTTGAGCAACCCTGGGCGATGTCCACTTATTTAAGTGTGTGCAGCCTTTGAACATTGCGATTCAGAGAGTATGATGACCCAATGATGACAAAAGAATGAGAGCCATAAGTTTTTCAGAAATTATAAATATGTCCAATATACTTCAAATATTATGTACAACTCTATTTTGATTGTCCACATACATGCATTTTTAAATTAAATTATCTTGTGTTGGCTTAAATAATTGTGTTGGCTTAAATACTGCTAGTGCCAAATATGTAGTATGTGTCTCGTATCTGAAAGGTGAAACTGTGTTCACAATTTAACGTGAACTAGCAATAAATCAACAAATTGGAATGACAATAATTTTATTACTACACAACATATGAATGTTAGGCTCACTTTATATTCCTAATTTGCGGAATGAGGTAGAACAACATTGTTGTGTGCTGAAATAGTACATGTGCAACCAAAAACACACGGCAGTGAAACATACTGTTTTGAAAACACATATTAATCGGCTGTGCAGTTTTTCCACTTGTAGTCGTGGGTTGTAACTGCCTGCACAAGTGGAGCATAAACGCTGCTTTCACTTCCTGCAAAACTGAACAGGAAGTATGTGGTGAGACAAGGTTATTATACCCAGAAAGGAATTCAGCTTTTAACTGCAGCTCATCATTTGCATCCTGACAAATTATTCTTCCTGCATAAGAAAACATGCATACCTTTTGCAATCCTTAAAAGAATATGGCTTTTTTTATCAGCTGATTTTTTTCAGTTTGTTTTACCAAAGAACCTGCTGTTTCTGCGAAAGTGTTGCCTTCTTAAATAAGTACAGTGAAAAAAATCGCAATTTTTCTATGCCTTAACTGGCTTGTAATTCACGGCATCAGTCTTTGGCAAGGAGCTAGCAGCTGTATATGCAGTTATGAATAAACAAGAGGACATTGTTGCTTTTTTCTCAGATACATGTCTAACCTAAAGATTACTGTTTGAGCTGCATGGTGACTCGTTAGGCATCGTTGCCTCACACTGCATGGCTTGGGGTTTGAATCACACCTCTGCTGTTTGTGTGGTGTTTGCATGTTTGTATGTTACTTCAGTTTCCTCCCACAGTTCCTGCCAAGGCATGCAGGCAAGGCTAATTGGTGTCTCTAAATTGCCCATAGCATATGTATATGTCAAGTCAAGTGGACATCCCTTCCAGGCTGTCCACAGCCTTGCGCTGCAGGGAATATGCACCAGACAGCACGAGTGTTAAGACCGTTTTGCTGCATCCATTAGCAAAAATAGTTAATGAGACACTTAAAAGCATCAAAGTTCCGAAGGGACTTCGCACCCACGCACAATCAGAGAGAACATGCTGAGTAAACCTAACGGATCAGTCTTACTGCTTCTTTGAAGACATAAAATGCTGAAGAGACTATCTCTGTTGTGGCCACTGAGGTCTCCTTATTAAAATAGAAAACCTAGTAACATCCAAGCACATATGATTCTTGCAGTTCTGCAAAAGATGAATCCATTCAGAAGTACATGAAAACGCAAATGTCTTGTTTGCCATCTTCACATTATAAGAGAAGTTTCCCCAGAGCAAGTATGTTCACTGAATGTACAAAAAAAAGCATGATCAGTTTCATTCATATTTTTCCATCACGCATTTTTTTTTTTTTTTTTTGAGATTTTAAAGCTTTGGGAAATTCCTTGTGTTGCATTGCACTAAGGAACCATTGTTTGGCTCTAAACAAAACAGACAGGCCCGCCTGCCCGCCTACCCGCACGCCCGTCGCGATAGCTGCTCTTTCAGGTCGATCACGTGACTCGCAGGGGCTAGGCGAGCCGTTAGCTTCTACGAATGCCTTTGTCCGTTAGTATTGTGGCGTTCTCTCGCGGTGTGCCCATTGGAACCCTGGGAATTGCAGTTCCGGAGCGGCGCGCTTTGTCTTCTTAAGGGCAGACTACACATCCGATGAGCTCACCCTGATCATGCGCAGGCGTCGTAAAGAATTTCTCCCTTACATCTGGAACTGTGCGAGGGGGAGGATCCGTTGGTTTATAGGTAAAGTCGCCATTTGGTCAGTCCGAAATGGGAAGCGGCAACGAGTGAATTTACTGGGAGTTCATCTCCATTTAAGTCTTTGAATAAAGCATCACATGTGTGGAATATTTACTGAAGGAACTATGTAAGCAAATGTTGATTTTGATTTAATTGTCCGCGCACTTCTAGCTATCGTTGCTAACGAACAGAAGGCAGACCCTTTTTCTTTTCCTTTTTTGTTTTCCTCTAGCTGTCTGGTTATACTGGTGGTTTTTAATTAGTAATTATTCGTATGGTTAGTTATCTGTGGTAGAGTAATTTGTAATATTTTTTATCAAAGTTTTTTTTGTTTCCTCCTAGTGGCTGTCAGAGGCAAGAAACCGGAATGACAGTGCATTGGTAGTGTGGTGCTGGATGTTAGTCAGCTAGCAAGCTAATAAATAATATAAAACACCGGGCATTGAGTGCTGGGTCCTGTGCGTGGAGGTCAGCCCTGTTCTTTATTTAAAGACTACGGTGGGCCAGCTTCGTCTCGTTGTCGCCCATCTGCCTAGTGACTTCCAGACCAGCTAGTGAGCGGTCTGTTGCCCGTGTGACAGATTTGTTACCCATCCGGAGCCGGGATCCGCGGGCCCCGCGAGAGGCCCGCCTGGCGGTGTCACTGCCGGTGTCCAGCGCGAGGAGGCGCCGGCTGGCGGTGCGGAGCTTGTGTCGGGGTGGCCCGGGCAGCTGGACTGAGGATTGCCGGTGGAAGTCGCCTCGGTTGGCGAAAATGAGAGCTTGAGACGGAGCCGCGCCGATGGGGGTGCCTCGGACCTGTCATCCGGTATCCGTTTGGGGGGGGGGGAACAAAGAAGATCCATGTGTGATTCCTTAATCTTACCTGTTCTGTCCGATGGTCAGTACTAGACCGGTCGGATAGATATACTGGTGTCGATATGGGAAATTTGAAAACACCGCAGAACAAAACTGGATACTTTGGAATAAAGTATTGTCCCGCAAGATCAACCCTCTGCCAAGAAAAAAAATTGCTTCGGGAAGCTATTGTTTTATAAAAGCAGTTCAATCGGCGTTTCGTGGCTAGCCAGCTACGTTTTTCTCGGCAGTGTTTGTCGCTGTCTGCTGTGTCCGAGTTGGCTGCTAAATATTGTGTACGAAACGTATTTTCGGCACGAGAAGTAAACCGATTTTTGATAGCAGCTTATAAGCGATGCAGTCCTAGTGTTTCTGTGCATATCTCCAATGAGCAGATGTGACTGCTGAATCCAAGAATAGGCGAATGCTTCGTAAAACAACCCCCCGTATTTTTCTTGTTCAATCTGAGGTGTTGGTGACTGAAGGAGGTAACATTAGATGGTTACTCGCGCCGACCTCTTATTTTAGGGACTGCCGCAGCAAATGAAGGCGCACTATAGGTCCTTTTGCATACATATGTCTAGTTTTGTCATAAGCAGTAAATGACTTTACTCTGGAAATTTTGGTGTCCCATTATCTAGCTGTCACGGAAGTTCGCTGCTAACCACCTTTTAACCAGTAAGTTGTTCTGTTGCTTCTTTGACTCGGGCCATCCAGCTACGCGCCTTTCGGGCAAAGAGAACGTGGTTTTGTGGGTGACGTCCGTCTGTCGTAATGCGCATGTAGATAATACGGTCGAATAGTTTTAATTTTGGTTTGTATATTTTCCAAAGCATAGTTTTAAAAAGACGCGCCGGGAAGCCCGTTGATATGGTCCAGCTCACGTATGATGGTTTGATAAGCCATCGGTGTCCGGCATCTGTACATGAAGTAATGCGAGAGCGATGTAAATTTGGTTAAGTGATTTTATTACTAATGGTTTTATGGATATTGAACGGTTCAACAGGTATTTATGAGTGTATTATGTGAGTGTAGGTTGGGTTTCGGCCAGAGGCGGCCGATTCCAGGATCACGTCTCATTGTCTTTTTTTGTTTGGCCACCTAATACAGTTAAAATTATTTGTTATAAATAAAACTGCAGACGGATCCATCGAGCGGGTAGGTTGCTCTGGTTGGCATTCAATCGTATTTATTTGGTTATTAAACATTCACCGTATTAAATTATTGTTTAAGTCGGGGTGGTTTGCAATCAGTGGACCACGTAGTGGCCGGGTTGCTGGGACTACTTTTAATATTTCAAATTCAAGGCAGATTGAGTTACATGGTCTATTGGGATGAGCTCGCTGTACTTTTAAATGGTCCGGACCTTAATAGGTTTCGAGTTACAACACAGCCGGGAACCTGCCTTCGTTTAATCGCCATAATATCGAATACATGTGGATGTATCGAGTAAGATTTAAAAGTTATGGCAGTAGCTTTCAGGGTGTAAGGTTAAAACCATAGCGGTCGAAGCACATGTGGCGCCCCTGAGCAGTCGGTAAAAGTTGTCGGACGGAGTGGCAACCGCCTCTGGTTAAAATACTGTATATTTCCCGATGAAGGCTTTTTCGGCCGGAAACTGTCGCAATTTATCCGACAGAAGTATTATTATAAATATAGTCTTTGTGAATCTTAATACCAGTTACAGCCCTTTGCTATATGAACGGGAAAAAACGTAGATTAATGGGTCATTGTGCAGATTTTTTTTTGGGAACACTAATTTTATAAATGTATTGTTCTTTTTTTCTTTTGACTGACGCCTGTCGTAAAATACACGAATCGCCATTAAAGGTAGATCAGTTATCAGCTCAGCGTTATTTGGGGTACTTCAGTATTTTTAAATTAGTCAGTTTTTTAATGGTTCGTTTTAACTTATCAGTAGTAGTTTGTGGTATATGAGATAAAATTAGATTGTACAATCAGCACTGTGTACTTTAGGTATGCGTGAGATTTAGGGTGTCATCTACATGCCAGAAATTGCACATGCCTCGTAACAGGGGAACTCTACTGTAAAGTGAAGCCGTTTAGTTGTTACTGGCTGATTGGCCCCGCCTCCCCTACCTTAGATGGCATGTCTTTGCTGTCCTGTTCCTGTACTGTAACCACATGCTGTTCTGCTGATTTGTATGTTGTTTTAGTCCTAAGACATTCATATGATTTTGTTCTGTTTTTTCCTCCCTCCGTTTTTTTTTTCCTCCAGTGAGCCTGGACCGGACATTAAGTTTGCCACCCGTTTGTGCATCTTCTCGAGAGACAAACGTATGAGGCAGGAACAGCCCTCCGCACTCCCCGTCGGCAATCTCTTATATTCAATGACGGCCTTCTCCATGTCGCTGCAAGATGGGTGGCGTGGATATGATCGTCCCTGTTTGTACGCATCAGCAGTGTTTGTGTTTCTGTGACAGTGTCTTGTTCTTTTCCATTTATAAAAGAACACCCCCTCTCCTGGGGCCTGACCCTGCGTGCTGTAAACTTCTTAATTGCCTTTAAGTGACATCCAGCCAGGGGCTCACCAGCAAACCCCAGTTCTGTCAGTTTTCTTTTTGTGCATATAGGCTTTCTTCACATCTTGAGGCCAAAGCTGAGGTTTTAGCATCTTTTTCTTTTTATTTTTTGGCTTTTCTTAGTAATTTATTTCTGCCGTTTCTGCTCATAAGCACACATGGAAAATATGTCGGAAAACCCCAACAAGGTCGTGACTTTCCTGGCGCCCCCCCCTCCTCCCCAGAAGAGCAGCAATGGCGCTAGCTCCGACACGCTTGTCGCCGAGAAGGTCGGCCCGGAGGTCCGGCGTCGTCGTCATACCATGGAGCGCGATCTCAAGACTGCAGAGCACCGTTTTTTCCGCCGGAGCGTCATCTGTGACTCTAACGCCACGGCCTTGGACCTCCCCAGCAAGGCCTGCTTCCTCACTTCCCCGCCTGACTGTGAGCTCAACGTTGTCCAGCAGGATTTTCTCTCTGGCTTCTCTCTGGTTTCGGAACCTGGTACGTGTGTCAGAGATGCGGTGGTCGGGGAGCTTGCGGAGGACGTTGCTGCCGACGACGGGCTGGCCGAGAGCCGGAGCACACAGCCCCTCCACTCTCACAGTGGAGATAAGGAGCTTTCCTCTAGTTTACCTGAAGAGACAGGTCCGCCGGAGGCTCTGGAAAAGGAGCTTTTGACGGAAAAGCGGGAAGAGGAGGAGAAGGAGGCCGCTAAGGCACGGGCGGAGGCTGAACAGAGGGAGGAGGTGGAGACCAAAGCAGTGGGCACCTCTCCTGATGGCCGCTTTCTCAAATTCGACATCGAGATCGGACGTGGCTCCTTCAAGACTGTCTACAAGGGCCTCGACACTGAGACGACCGTGGAAGTGGCTTGGTGTGAGCTTCAGGTAAGCACTTCAGCAGATAATTTTGAACCACCCATAAATGGGCTCCGTTGTGGACCTCTGAATTTTTATTAATCTGCTGGACTGAGTTCTGACAATGGATGGCTGAAAGCACTTTCACAATGACAGTGAATTATAAATACTAGCAAAATATGAAGATTAAAGCAAAATGAATGTGTGTGTGTGTGCGTGCGTGCGCGCGCGCTCGTGTCTGATATGTAATATAAATAATATAGATCCAATCATCCTTCGTTTACATTAAGTACAAAAAACAGGCGTTAGAAAACTCTTAATAGCATTGAATATTCTTAATAGCAGAGAAATACAAAAAGCCTGTTTTTGCTAATCTGTCAGCTCATTCAGAATCTCTGAAATTTAATGGGATTTTTGTCTGGCACTCGGGCACAAATCCCATGTTTATAAGTACATGTCATAATGTAGAGTTAAGTGCACTCTAAGCATTATGATGTAAAGGCTTCAGAAAACGCTCGATATCCCAGGTGACACGTCTGGATCTTCACTGTTGTCTCCTCTCTGAGTTTGTCATGTGTATTACTGATGATGCTTTCAATTGGCTCTCTTGGCTCACTTTGTGGGCTTTTTTTTAAGACTGTCCTTATGAAGTGCCAAAAGTGATTTGGAAAGTCCGGGATTAGTGCACCGTCTGCTGTGTAAGGGACCCTTAATTGGCAGAGTTACTGGTCATGTGGACAAGCCATTTCAAATGCAAGCTGGGTACTCTATAATTGTGTCTCAAGGGTTGAGGGTAAATTAAGCTGTTGTGTCTAATTACAAATCAGACCACTGGAAGGGAACAAGAACAACCCCCTGCTGTTATTTAGTAAGATAATTTGCTTTTTTGTTTCATAATTTGTTTAGCTGAATATTTATTAATCTTGGATTGCACTGAAATAAGCACTGTTCTGTGACCTCCACTCCTGTCAATGTATATTATTGCCTGTCTATGGGGGTGCCTGTCTATGGGGCTTAAGGAAGACAATGCTAGGTGCAGTCACCCAAATGAATCTCCACATATTTGTCTTGTTTGGTACATCTGTTTCTTTGCACAAGTATGTTTTGTTTACTTTTTTGGGTAGTTTAAACAAGGAGAATACGCCTAGCTGAGGGGGTAAACCATACGTGCACGTTCAGGGCATGACCTTTGATTTAAGTGATTTTAATGTGTTTTTAACACATAGACATACATTCAAAGGGTAGTCCTCATGCAGAATGAGTGAGGATTTACAGAGATTTCTCTAGGCTTGACAGGAGTTTGATAGTGCAAATAGTAGCTATATGGATATGGTGCGAATGGGTGATGAAGGTTACTTCTAGCTTGTGAAAATATATGTAGTGTTTGATTGGAGACTTGACAAGTGTTTGTATCAGTGATAAGGCATCAGGAACAAGTTTAAGGTGGGGCTGTGAATTCAGGTGTTACAATGGACCCCCATCGTTGTCTGAAAGGGACCATAAGGTCATGGGTCTCTTGTCCCAGCAAGGGGTTAGCAGCTCTGCGTCTGCTGGTGGGGGGAGTGTGTGAGAATCTTCTCCTGCCCCTTGGAAAGTCTTGGGATTAGGCTTGGAGTTGGGCACTGAAATGAAACTATTGCCCCCTCCCCCTTAATAAAGCAGATTGTTTTTTTTTTGCAGATTTTTGTTTTTCACTCCTCCCCCTTTTGTTATTTATAGCATAATGTTGTGGTAGAAAAAGCTTGCAGTTACCCACATATTCATATCAAGGGAGCAGGTCCTCAGCTGATTTGAATTTTACTGAATAAACTTGAAGTAAACTAAACAGATGATACTTTCCCTGTTTTAAAACTTTAAAAAATTTAATTAAATGAATGAAATACAATATTGGCATTTCTTTCATTTTGAAATTGATATTATTCATTTTAACATGCAACTGTAACTGCCAAAATTTAAGATAAAAAATGTGAAAAAGGTAAAAAGTGTAGAAAGGAAGGTTTTTCACAAGTCACTCCCTTGCCCATGCAAAGTCTTCCGTTTGCCATTGCTGGGGCTGTCCCAGTGATTTCCCCATTGTTTCTGCTGACTAGTTTCCACCAGGGCTGTGGGAGATCCTTGACCTCCTGTGATCCTTGAAATACTGTGATGTCTCTGTAAGGTTCATTTTGATTTGGTGAAACCCCTCCCCAAATTTGAACTGATAGCATTGTTAGGAAGCCTCTTAAATAATGGTCTGTAAGTGAAGCAAACGCAGCAGCTGGGTTTGGTAATACAGTGCTGAGGAGGAAGTGAAAATGTAGGTCAGAGTTTGCTGCCGCCGCTTGCTTCCATCTGGCTGTCTGTGCTGCGTTATCATGTGGAAATTCACCAGAAAGGAATTTGAAGGCGGAGCTTTTTTTCTTTTTGCCGTCACATTGTAGCAACGTCCTTAAAGCCATAGTGTCGTCACCTGTGAATAATGTGAGGGATGGGGGCAGAGGAAGCCTATCCCGTGGACCGAGGCCTTTGCCGTTTACTTTTCATTTGTTGAAATTCACTAAGTTCCGAAGGAAGGAAGATGACTAGAGGGGCTGGATTTTCTTAATTTAGCATTGCTGAAAGATTTGTATGTGTGCTGCTTGACTTTTGCTTTAGTCAGGTTAGTTTGGTACTTTTTGGTACAAGAAAATCCATTTTTTCTTTGATACTTTTGGTAGTCAGTTGGCCTTGCATTTATAAGTGGGGCTCTCCAAGCTATGTAATATTCTTTGACTTAAAGCAAAATCACAGTTTAGTCTGATTTTTATATGCCTGAATCTCAGGCTGGCAGAGTCCTAGCAGCGACCGGACTTTCTGGCAGTTACTCTGTGCTTGAAAAATTGATCTTCTAAATTTCCTTCCTCCCTCCCTCTCACTCTTTCTGTAGTGCCTGCTAATGCAGTGTTTTTCAAACCAGTCCTCGGGGACTCTCTCCCATTTTTGCTCTCTCCCAATTGCCTTGGAGTTAGGAGGGAGCAAAAACACGGACCGCATGGGGTTCCCCGAGGACTGGTTTGAGAGACATTGTTCAGTTACTAGAGGCTGAAGTTTCAGGGTCGAAGGAGATAATACTGGCCATATCCAATGGAAAATGCCTTTCCTTGCTGAACGTCGTACTAGATACCTAACAGGTCACGTAAAGTAGGGACAGTCATCCAAGAAAGACATACTAATCTGCTGTAGATTTCCATGCCTCTGTGAAATGTAGGGACCTGGCCTGCCAAGGCTTGTTTGCACTCCCTCCTCCCTTTGCTGGGATGATCTATAGCATGTGACTGAGGGTGCTCCAGTTCCACCGATCTCCTCAGGGTCACCGCTGACGCTAGTGAAGAAAGGCGGCTCTCAGCTGTGCCTCTCTCTCTCTGGTGCTGTGTTCTGCATGATATGAGCCAAAGGTCAGGGTTGAGAGGGATGGGGCGGCTGTGGGTTCTCCTGGGCATTTCAGTGCTTGGTTCTGCCCTTGTCCGCCTAGCTTTTCTTGCGTATCTGGCCTCCTTTTGGTTGCCTCCTTCAGCTTTGTGACTGGGTGGGGGTGCTTTGTCAGTGCAAAACAGCATTGGTAGCAGATCCAGTGAAATTCTGTTTAAGTGATTACGTCTCGTTTTCCCTAAGAACCTCTGAACAAGCATCCAGTTTTGTCATCTCAGACTGTCCACTGACACGCACACGAATGGTACATCAACTGGGAAAACCATTTTCCTTATTGCAAAATCAGCAGGAAGATGTGATTTAAGAGCAACATATTTGGTGTTGTGGCTGGATGTTGTCATCAGAGGCTCCCCTGTCTGACCTGCTGCTGTGATTCTATGATGCTGAGTGAGTGGGCCTGTTATGAAGGGGAGGAAGTATGAAGAGATGAGCACCTCCCAGGCCTCGGAATGAGGCTTAGGGCCTTGCTTCATTTAAATGGGCGTCATGGCCGTGTAGGCGCCCCAAACCCTATTTGCTCTCTTGCATTCTCCACATTCCACTGGAAGGACGTCAGGCTGCACTCAGGACAAAGAAGACTGGGGGGGGGGTGTCGATATAGTGCTCCTCTCCATTCCCACGTCTTTTGTCTTTACGTTCTTTTTTCTGAGGCTAAGTAAAGAATTTGTACCTGTGATACTAGAATAGTGCCCCCCCCTCACGTCGAATAGTGAATTTGTTTATGAGGAATTTGGAAGGTACCTCCCCTTAAGTAAATGAATAATCAGAAACATCGTTCACATTTTACTGTTAATCAAAACTACTTGGGGTACTGACAACCCTGTGAACCACCAATCTTGTTCTAATCCGTCGTTTCCTCTTAATGTTGGCTTTCAATGGTCTCTACGCATTGCAGTAATTGAATAAGTCCTGTACTTTTCCACTAAAAGGAGTCAGAATGATTAAGGACCAGACTACTCTCTATGCAGTGAAATTAAATCTTCCTGTCAGTGTGTCCTGGATGTGCATAGGCTTTGTCTGTGCTTTCTTGCACTGGTTGCTATGTTTATACTATGAATTCAACTGGAATTATTTTTTTTTTCCCTATTTAAAGGTAATATAATAGATGATCCATCCATCGATCCACCTTCTAACTGCATATTTTGGTCAGGGCTATGGGGTAAAACAAATGTTTGTTTGTTTTTTTTTTGCGAAATGTGCGTCTAATACTAGATTTAAGTTGTTCTTACGGCCTATCATTTGACTGACTTTAGAAAAAATATTAATAATTGAGCAGAGAGTAGGCAACTAGCAATGAAGAAAGTGGTTTTAAAAATGTAGTTTGAAGCTGGAAGTTGTTTACATCCTATGCTTAAGGTGTTCCTCCTGTTTGGTTATCACTGACCTCAGTGATTTAAGGTTTTTTGTGGGTACTCCTTAAGTGGTTCTCCACTTTGCGTGTTTTAAGAACCCTACAAAGCTGAAAAGGGAACACTATCATGTTTCAGGATTAAAATGGGTACTAGTATATAGTATATTAATATAAGATGACAGAAGTTTCTTATTAAACAACTGCATTAAAAATGTTTAGCACTAAATCAAAT